CTGATTTTCAGGCCTTCTGGGCCCACCAGAAGTAGGGAAACAGGCTGTTTCCTGCCTCCAGAGGACTTCGGGGTGGATGAGCAAGGCCTGTTTTTCTCTCTCCCCAGCCTCCAGAGACTTTCTAAGAGTCTGGGGACGGCAAAAATGGCCTTTCCCACCCCACCCCCGGAGGCCATCCAGAGGCCGAAAACGGCCCGTTTGCTGACTTCTGGTCCCACCAAACATCTGCTCCCTCCCAACTGGAAGTTGGCAAATGGGCTGTTTCTGGCTTCCGGAGGGCCTCTGGGGGGGTGGGGAAGGCTGTTTTCGCCCTCCCCAGACTCCTAGAAAGGCTCTGGAGGCTGGGGTGAGCAAAAAACGGCCCTACTGTGCCATCTCATGCCAAGCGCGGGGGGAGCATGTGGGGGGGGGGGGTCAAGGCGGGCAAGCGCGGGGGCAGGGCGCATAGAATTATGGGTGTGGGCATGTGCGCACACAACCACCACCACCTGCTCCTGGCACACGATGACAAAAACGTTAGCCATCGCTGGTCTAGGGTCTCCTGCTTGAGCAGGGGGTTGGACTAGAAGACCTCCAAGGTCCCTTCCAACTCCCAATGTTCTGTTAATAAAGTTATTTAGGTCTGGGAAATTCATCTCAATGCTCCTCAGTGATGACAGAGCATGATGGATTCAACTATTAGTTTTGCTTCATTTTAATTCCTTTTATTTAATATATTTTTCCTATCCTTTTTTATGAAGCAATTTGCACTCATTGGTAAGTTCTCATTAAGCCATGACTCAAAGATCCAATCAATATATTGAGCTCAGTGGTCTAGGCTGGGTCAGTATATAGCCCAGTTCAAAAAATAATCAGTTTGTTCAAGAACACATTCCTAGAGGCAGAAGAAGGAATCACCCAAGGGGGGGAAATCATTGCACAACACTATCACATCATGGCTGAAGACACTCATCACAAATGCTAGCATGTAGACACTAAGCTGAGTGTCCAACAAGATTTTCGTCCTTCTGTTGCTTCTTTCTTGTGTTTTTCCCATCTTGAATGCTCTGTTCTTCTCCTTTAGTTGCTGTTTCCCAAGCGCATTTGCTATATAGCCTTGAAAATTGGATAATGAAAACCGAGTCATACATTTCTGCTTTATGTTTCCAAAGAAGTAAGTGTGACTGTCAGGTTTACAAAAGATTGTTTATGTTCAGTGGCCTCAAATGGGGGAATGTGAGTGTGGAGGAGACAGAGAGAGAGAGAGAGAGAGAGAGGCTGCCCTGCCAGGATGACAGCACCGCATTCATCCTCCACGCTACGGCAGACAAAGCGCTGGTGCCAGCTGACAGGGACCATAAATCACCACCAAGAGATGCTGTACCTACAGCTTATACCCATTCCAGATGACAAGCACACAATAATCCACACAACACAGGGCTTTTCTTTCTTTGCTTTCTTTTCCCCTCTTTCTCTGCGCCTCCTCTCCAAGCTGGGACCTTGAAGGATGCAGGTCCAGCTAAACGTGGACATGAAGCCGAGAACCCCAAGACCTTGATTTTCCTCCTCTTCAAGGAATGGGAAGTAAATAACCAGAACAATGGAATGAATCAAACATTTGGCTGAGGACAGCTCCACAATTAGACCAGGAATGGGGAACTTCTGTTGGCTTAAGTAGCAGCAAGACTGGATGGAACTATTTTTGCTGCTTTTCAGGATTCTGAAAGTGGAAATGATTTGCAAGGTCAAAGGCATCTGCTTCGTCCTTTAAATTTCCCCATATTGTAAGAAAGAGGGAGAGAGGGGGAGAGAGGGAGAAAGGGGGAGAGGGAGAGAGAAGAAAGAAAGAAAAAGGAAGGAAGGAAGGAAGGAAGGAAGGAAGGAAGGAAGGAAGGAAGGAAGGAAGGAAGGAAGGAAGGAAGGAAGGAAGGGTCCATTACAAACTATTTTGCACTAGGCAGAATGAGCTAATGTCCAAGCAGAAGCTAATGAAGAGCAGCAGCATCTATCGTGGGTGATCAAAACAGGCCAGATAGTAGTCACATCATCGTGATCAAAGCCCAACCCCCTTTGTATGTGTATAAATGTCATACATATGAATAGGCAGGCTTTCTATTGTGATGCTTTGACTATAATTTTGCTTGATTTGACCCACCCATCTACCGTCCCTCACACCCAGCTCTCAAGGCCCTCACATGACTCCTCAGCTTTTCCTAGGAGTTTCAATTCTTGGTGTTCACAGCTGTGTGTCTAGCTTGCACCCTCCAAATGTCTACGGTCGGTTGACTCCCTCTTCTTTGTGGCAGCCCCTTAAATATTGGAACACTATCATGTCATTCCAGTCCTTCTTTTCATTAAACTAGACATCCCCAATTCCAGCAACCATTCTTTATGTTTTAGCCTCCAGTTCCCTAATCATCTTTGTTGTTCTTCTCTATGCAGATTAAAGTCACATGAGGTAAATAAACACAAGAACAACAAAAATCAACTAAAGTTGAGTGTGGCAGTGAACATTTAAGGGCATGATATCTAGGAAAATAAGCCCCTTTTCCACAATGCTCTGAGCACATGCTTATTTTGATGAGTGATTAAACCAGAGCTGTCGATGACCTCCCAGGCACAGTCAGGAATTCCCAGTCACTAGGAAATTAGGAAAAAATATTTATTATTATATTTATTTATTATAAAATTAATTTGCCACCCATCTGGTGTCAAATGTCTCTTGTTTAAAAATGCTTTAAGGCAGTTTGGGTTTTGTAACAGAATCATGTAAGCCTGCCAGAGCTCCTGTCTAGTCAACTAATCCAGTGGAGGCACTATTATTTTGAGCTCCATTTGCCTTGGATATCTTTTCTGCAACAGATCATCATTATTCTTTCCTTTTTCTGAATCAGACCAACATTTCATCACATGAGGCCTCATTGACCGAAGCCCTGCTGCTTATATGCCCCAAAAATATTAGATAAATGTACTAGCAATATTGCTGATTTCACACATGTGAAAGGCATATATGAAAATGCTATTTATTTTTGTTTTTGTTTTATCATTGTAATCAGCAACATTCAGCTGAGGAACTAGGCTGTAATCAGAACAGTGAGACCTTTTTATCATTTGTTATATTGTCTCTTTCCAATTTTGTCCATCACCGTTAAGAGAAAACAAGCCCAAATCACCTTTTCCCCCATTTTTTTTCTTCTTCATTTATTTGTTATGTTCTTACTGGAAAGGTGACTGATGAGTAAAGCATGAAAGCAGAAATAAAACAAGACGGGATCATTTGTGAAGCCCTATTGTGCTGACACTGTTCTGGATGAGTGAAAATGAAGGTGCCATCAACCATCTTTTTAAAGTGCATCAGAAAAATAACTGTCTGATGTGTCAGAAATACCTGCTTTTTCTTTAACCTAAACTTCTGATGAACCAACGGGCTTCAGAGAGCATTTATATGCAAAGGCATATAATATGTCCCCTGTATCTAATTATCTGTCAACCTGAGGCAGTTTGTTTCCTAAATCGGCCTCTCGGCTGTGACTTTATGAGGTCATAAAGAAAACAGTGCCATTCTCACTGCTGAAATGCTAGTGGAAAGCCAGATCAACAAATTACAGCCCTTAATGGCATCTCTTTGTGGCAAGCACATATCCTTGGGTTCTCCTTTTATCCTCAAGACATTGACTTTTGCCCCATTTTACGATCTTTCTTGCCACAGTGGCTAAGCGAATCACTATAGTTGTTAAATTAGTAACACAGTTGTTAAGTGAATCTGGCTTCCCCATTGATTTTGTTTGACAGAACAAAAGGTCGAAAGGCCGGAAAAGATGATCATACGACTCTGGGACACTGCAATTATCATAAATATGAGTCAGTTGCCAAGTGTCTGAATTTTGATTACATGAGAGGGGGATGCTGCAACAGTCATAAGTATGAAAAAAAATTCAATGGTCTTTTTGAATGGTCACTAAATAAAAGGTTGCAAGTTGAGGGCTACCTATAATCTGTTCTTTATTTATTTCTGGATTTTGTAGTTGTGGTCTATCTAATCTTGAGTGCCAGTGGAAACTCTTGCATTTGGAATTCCATGCTGTCAAGATTTTTCTCTCCAATTTTAGTACGCATAGCTCTGGGGGAATAAATGTTGCCTACAAAATATGTATACAGAAAATAGAACAATGGAGGAGATTCCATTTCTGTCCAATCAGAGTGAATGAGATGAGATGAGATTTTGATAAACAATTTGTGAAGAAACAGATTTTTTCCCCATCAAATCTCCATTGGTCTACCCAAAAAATTACCATGTGTTCTGTTCTATGTGCTCTCTTCTGCTTCAATCTTCTCTCTTCCCTAAGCCTCCACTCACATTCCTGTAGTCCCAATCTAGAATAAATTAAAGCTAGAAAAACCCTGCAAGCCAAATACTAGATAGTCATATTAGATCTAGTGAAACTGTGATCAACAGCAAATGTGGGATTGTGGGATATGACAGAAGAATTTGGAAAGGTGTGTGGAGCTTTTGGTTTTAGCTTTTGAATTTTTGAAAAGCACGACATTACAAAGTATAAATTATTATTGGCAAAGAGAAAATATTTTTGAAATATTTTGGGTAAAAGGGCCAAATACAAAACGTATAGAATTAGACACTATTTGAGTGTACCAGAATGAATGCAATAAGTTGAACTTCCAGAGTGTGGGTCTGTGTGTGTGCACACACACAGAAAATCTCCAAGGAAATCTCCAGAGGACTATACAACTCTAGATTGTGCAATTAACAGTAGTGTATTTCACATGCGGATTAAGCACTCCTACTCTATTAAAGAGAAGCCTTCTTAAAGAGTTCCTTAAGTCTTCTACATACAAAGAATTGTCCTTTTCTCTGAGTTTTGAAATGCATCTTTAAAGGGATATTAAGAACAAAACCCATAACAGATTTATTTTGGATTTGATCCACTATCATATCACAAATCCTTATATACACTCACACAGAGACTTACACACAAATGTATTTAAACAAATTTTCCAAGTGCCAACATCTGACCTCATATTTATTTCTCACAGTTCCTTTGGAATTCATAAATATCCCACTGGAACGGTATACAATATACTGGAAACAGAGATGGTTGGGTTATTTTCTGGTAAACGGTGTTCTACAATTAGCATAGCAATCATTTGGTGGAGAGCATCTCCCACAACAGATATTTTGTATACCATGTTTCCCCAAAAATGAGAGCCTGTCTTACATTTTTTTGAACCCTGAAATAAGCGCTTGGCCTTATTGCCATGTGTTCAAAAGCCCGATTGGGCTTATTATCAGGTGATGTCTTCTTTTGGGGAAAACAGGGTATGTAATCACCATATTCCTGTGACACTCAATGGAAGTGAAAGTTGGACTTAATTGAAGCAGAATAGGAAGAATATTAATACTTCTGAACTTTAGTTTTGGAGAAGATTCCTGAGAACACCATGGATAGTCAAAGAAACAAATTGATTTTGGAACAAATCAATCCAGAATCCTTTCTCCAGAGATATTGATCGGTCTTAAATTATCATATTTTGGCAGATGGTGATGATGATGATGATGATGATGATGATGAAGAAGATGATGATGATGATGATGTCCTTTCAGTCAAGTCTAACTCTTGATGATTTTACGGGCCAGGACTCCGCACTTCTAATCTTACACTGTTTCTTTGAGTTTTTCTATGGTGTGACTGGTGTCAGCTTTGATAGTGTCCAACCACTGGTAGTGTCTTTAATAGCCTGGTTTCACTAACTCTTCCAAACATGATTGCTTTCTCCAGTGAATCCACCTGGGAAAAATAGAAGGAAAGAGAAGACAAGTATGATGAGCATGAAATTGGATGGATTTGATTAATTGTAACAATGGTTACATATTTGGAAGACCTGAAGGGCCAAGTTGGAGACAGATCATCCTAGAGAAGGCCTATCTAGTTGCTTAGAGACTTACTAATATGTAATCATCCATCATATGCTTTGCAAGGACAAAATGCCTCTACCCATAAAAGTGGCCCATCTGTACTTTAATGCACATTGCTTTGGAATGTGGCAAAGGAGAATGATACCTTGTGGGAAGAGAGACTTATGCCCTCAAGTTCTGCCCTGATGGAGCTATTGCCACCAGTGCTTTGAACTCTGCTGAGAACTGGGCAGAAAGGCAGAAACTCCTTTAGCATTGGGGAGACATGGTTCCTCAAGGCAAGATTTGCAAGACCATCTCTCCTATGCATTATTAAAAAAAGAATCATAGGAAAAGCCTTTGATAACATGCCACCCCTCAAATGTTTTTGAGTGGATGCAGCTGCAATAAAGAAATTAGTTCCACAGAGTTTGGAAGACCCCAGCCAGAGGTACAGCTTAGTTCAGCATTCAGATCATAAATTTCAGAGAAGTGGGGGAGGGGGGCTTCCTTTTCACACTCTTCCTTTCCTATTAGTCTGCTTTTGATCTCAGGTGGATTAATTAGGATGTTTTATCTGAAGGCAACAGTGAACAAGTCCCTCCATTGTGAGAGCAGTAATAGTGCTAAGGAAACCTAAGCCTTAGCTTTCCTTTTCTACCCACAACTGCCCTTGTGATTAATGATACAACAGAACTTTAAAAAAAATGAAGAAAGGGGGAGGAAAGGGGGGTCAACAGCTGAGTGCAAGGCAACTCTCTAGACAGGGAGTAATTAAGATACTTGGATAAATATGATTAATAAGCTGAAACTGGCAGGGTGTGCAGTAAACAAGGGCTAACCAGATGGTACCCTTTTCCCTGTCTGACAATTGGAGGAGCTTTGCAAAACGAGGGAGACAAGCGCCAGATTCACAAAATGCGGCTGTTTTGATTCAGTGTGGGAAGACAGCAATGGTAACCTACCTTAAGCCTACAGAGTGAATTGCCTGAGAAGAATGAAGAATGTTTGTCTCCAAGGCTAGCAGCTGCTGAGAATCATGGCAGGCAACTGTTCTCATGCCAGCAGAGGGGAGGGTTCTCCACAGTCCCATTTGCAGAAATTCAGTGGGTTAGATCTGAAAGTTCAACCCCCAAAACATGCCAGAGCATCATCAAGCATAGCCCAGGGAGTTCATTTCATCAGAGATAGAAGATGCTTGGAATAGTTGTTGTGAAAGGAATCAAATCCATCTGCAGATGTTTCTCCAGAAGAGATGGGTTCCAGCTGTGTGTCTCTTATTTACTGGGATTCTGAACTTATGGTAAAGTTAGAGTATTGTCAGCCTTGTGCAGTAATTTATCTGGATTATGAAAATAGAAAATAGATGTCAGGAGCAAGGGTACAGTGATAGAGAAATATTTCAACCAGTTGATTTGCCTTTCATCCCTCCCCAATAGAGAAGAACAGTTTGATAAAATGTACATGGGTAGGATATACATTCTCTAACTTAGTTTATTTATGAAGTGACCAAGGGAATGAGAAGTTTCGGTCTTCCATTGGACATCTCTGGGGCCATGCCAGGCTTTCCATGGCTCAATTAAATTGAGGAATGAGTAAATAACTAAACTCATGGCATTCTGCATAATCTCCACCACTACATTTATTAACCAGCATGCTTCACCAAATAAATGTACTATTAGAAAATTATGATTATTGGGAGAGAGCAGTTCAGTTCTTTGTTTATTGTACATTCAACTTCCCTGGAAAAAAGATATGTATCCTAAAAATTCAGACAGTTTGTGTGAGAGAAACAAGGTAAAGATGACACCTCCCTAATAGTTCCCAGAGAATATTTTTTATGAGAGGGTAGTCTGCTTTACTTTGGCAAGATTCTGTCTTTAGGTAAGGAACAATTAAAGAAATCTGCTTGGAAGAATCACGTGTTTCTTGTGCTTTCTGAAGCATGACAGTAACCTACTGAAGCCTTCTGCAACATGCCCAACATGTCCAAAACACTGAATGCGAGGGAACCCTACAACATACAGTAAACCAGACTAAGAAACAGATACTGTACAAACCTAAAGTTACTTTTATTAGAACAATTATAATGACAAACTTTTGCAAGTCTAAATGGGCTTCCCTTCCTCTTCTTCTTCTTGTGAATTAAGGGAGAGAGGCTATCTCAGGAGGAAGAGCTATAGACTAGGCAGTGGTCAGATAAAGGCAGCTGAGCCTGAAGAAGAAAAGGGTTCCCAAACATGCTTTTTCAAAAGGCAACTGGACTTTCTTTATTTTTCCTTGAAGATGTTTCGCTTCTCATCCAAGAAGCTTCTTCAGTTCTGACTGAATGGAAGGATTTATAATCCTTGCAGAATTTTCCCATTCCCCACCATTCAGTCAGAACTGAAGACACTTCTTGGATGAAATGTAAAACATCCAGGAAAAACAAAGAAGCCCAGCTGCCTTTTGAAAAAGGCACCGGATGTCTGAGAATTTCCATAGACAAAGAAAAGGGATGTGCAAACATCTCATGGGGGACCCTCCCTAGTTTCTTACACTGTAAGATGAGGGGAGAAAGTGGTATTTTCAGATTTGCCAGATTGTGATAGTGTAACCTTACAATAAAGTTAGAGTTAGTACCTCTGGGTGTGCTTCTTGCCTGAACTACTTCATAAGGCTGACAGAGGCATTTTTGTAAACACTCACAATCATGGACCCTGTGTATCTTTTCCAGTCTACCTGAGTGCATGACGCATTTCAGCACAGACACCCCAACTCATGTTTCTTATCTTTCAAACAATTTGCTTTCTTCCTTAAAACTTTCATCCCACAACAATTTCACACCTCCTACAAAATTGTCATGAAATTTCCTTCCAACAAAAAACTGAGAATGTTGAGTTTTCTCACTAGAAATATCCTTTTCACCCCATTGTACTTTTATCCCAAGCGGTAATTTAACAGGTTCACCTTAACCGTCAATATATATCTTCATTCTGAAAACCCATACATCTGTTACATTTATTTCTGTTACACAACTATTAAATCATGTTTAATATTTCTTCCTGGTCTTCCTTAAGTACAGTTCAAAAATATTCACTTTGCAGTTTTTCTTCTGATACTCAGAAGAAATAGCAATTGCATCACAGTTTGTCCATATTGAGTAAGCTGTTTTCCTATTGCAGCTGTAGAAAGAACTTCCCAAAGTTTCTGATGGCCCTGAAGGTGCCTCAAACAACATTATTAATTGGTTTTAAACTCTGCAGTATAAATTCACATTTTAAAGATTAGCATTAACAACTGGGACATTAGAGAAGAAACTAGCTTGATACAGTTGACACATTCCCTTGAGAAGAGAAGTGAAGACACCAGGAAGTTTCCCCTCAAGTATCTTCTGGGGCTTCTGAGATTTATACTGGGCTGATATTGGTTTTGTTTACTTTTCCAGGGTCTCCCACCCTCAGAAAAACATATCCTTCAGTTTTCTCTTGACAATATTTTCCAGTTGAGTTGGTTCTTGGAGGTGATAGAAGATGCTAATGTTTTTGTGTTGTTGTTTTATGCTCCACATCTATCACACCGAGGCCTCCTTAACTGCCCATAGTTCTCAGTGTGAAAAAGATCTGTGGGATGAATTTCCTCATGAAGATGTTTCTTGAGATTTAATTGAAACTAGAAAGGCAGGTGGGCTACAGACCACTGATGACATGGTTTTTCAATGACTGGCAGCACATTCATACTTATAAACCCTTCTCCTGTTCATGATGAAATAAGTACAAGAACAGCATCTCCTATACCTTTCAATAAAGTAAGGACTTAAAAAATAATAATAAATGCACCAAAATGCATCATAAATCACATAGGAAAATCTTGGTCTTTGGTCTCCATATTTCTCACACATTTATCACTTAACATTCAAATTCAGAAGAAGGAGGAGGAATGCATGAAGTCAGGACATGCAACCTTGAGGTTTGGCTTCCTGTAGCAGGTCTGATACCTCTGCTTCCTAAAATGATGAGACAGAACCGATCTGCCTCAACTAGCTTGAATGAGGTGAACTTTGCATGTGCAGGAGTCATTTTGGCTGGTCAAGGCAAAGCATATGGTTAACCCACTGCAAAACATGCTGAATTTTGCTTTGTGGCTGAAGCTTGAAGCTTCATTATTTTTAAAAAAAAAATTAAAGCACAGTTCCAAGAATAATTATTTTCATATTCTTTTGCCAGCAATGACATTACATCATGTCCAGAAGATGCTACAAACCTGATGGACCACAGAAGACACAAAGGAAGATTTAGAGACACACATATACATAGACCAATAAACACAGAGAGACAGAAAGAATCTGCAAAATATTTGGTGTACAAATCAAGGTAAGGTGGAAGCAACAGAAAAAATGCATTACAGAAAAATGGTAGTCCATTGGCATGCTGCATATTTTTCCCATATAAAAAGTGAGTGGGGAAGCCTTAAATGAATTGACTCTGAGAAAATGTCCCTTTCTATTACTCTGCCTCACCTTCAGTGGTGAAAATACTCTAGTTTATTTGAATGACTCCAGAATACAAAAATAATTTCCAGTTCATCATTCCAAAGGCGCAGCTTACAGCTCATATCCATTTCAGCTGTATGGGTACTACCACCCTCCCTTGTTGCCCTGGCTTTGCAAGCAGCTGCCATCTAATTACCAGCCCTCATCACAAGTGGGAAGAAACAAGTTGTGGCATTTAGGAAAGGTTTGCAAAAATAGGTGTCAGACCTTAACTAATAGTGATTGTCCTTCCATTCTGCTGTAATTTACATTTAATTCACACATTTCATTTCCATTTAAAATATGATTACAGTGTTTTGAAGCACATCTCACCTGTCCCCTTGCATTACAGGAGCAGGGAAAATAACCTGAGGTGGCAGGAGCAAAGCAAGCCATCTAACAGCCAGCCTGCTGGATTGTAAATAGAGGATACCACTGACAACCCTTAAGACTTGATAGAAGGAGCAGGAGCACCTGAGATCTTCTTAAAAGAGATGTGTGCTTGCAGAAATTGTAATGGATGTGGCAGGTGTTTGTTTCAGAGATACCTGGGTTGAGAAAGAGAAGAGGGGATTCCAGAAAGGACAATTATGGGAAAAAATAGTTAATTACTAGAGACCGCTAACTAAAATACACGGTGGCTGGACACTATCAAAGCTGACACCAGCCAGAGCATAGAAAAACTCAAAGAAATAGTGCAAGATTGGAAGATGTGGAAAAACCTGGCCCATAAAATTGCCAAGAGTCAGACTCCACTGAACAGATATCATCATCACCATCATTACTGACCAATGTTCATGCATCGGGATCAAAATAAATTGTTTTCAATATTCCACCAAAGAAGAAATTGGAACTTTTGTCCTGGATGTGATTCTTTTCCACATATGTAGTAAACAGCAAACAAGGTATGGGTATCAATATCTGTCTTGCAACCGCTTCTCCAGCTGTCTGCATCTTCTCTGGTTTTCCTCCCATTCAACCCCAAGGGAACACATTAAAAAGGAATTCCTCCCATGTTTTTTCCCCAATAGCAGTACTATTTTCCTAACAGAGTGCCCCAATAGCAATACTATTTTCCTAACAGAGTGCCCCAATAGCAATACTATTTTCCTAACAGAGTGCCCCACTCTTGAGAAAAAAAAAATCATGCAGGTTTTCTGCCCACAAAGTCAACGTAGAATCTTAAAGGTCCATTTGTACATACTTAGTAGATGGATCTATTCTCTCTCCTACTAAGAATTTCCAAAATTACATTACAATGTCACCCTAGGCTTCCTAAAATCCACCTGTATGTATGTATGTATGTATGTATGTATGTATGTATGTATGTATGTATATATTTCTCTTTAGCCAGGTTCTTCCTACATAAACCAAGATTTTTATGCAGCCCTAGTTCAGTGAAATCCCAATCTACTAGTTTCTAGGCTTTTTTTTTTTCCAGCTGCCAGCAAGCTCCCTGCTGCCCATTGGGAGACTAAAGAGATAAAGATAGATCTATTTCAGACTTATAAGCCCTCATCAGTTAACCACACCTTCATCCCATGTATCCTTCCTGTAAAGGTACAATATTTGTTTTCTTTTCTTTTCGTAGATCTTTATGTGAATTTCTCTTTAGCCAGGTTCTTCCTATGTAAACCAAGATTTTTATGCAGCCCTAGTTCAGTGAAATCCCAATCCATTAGTTTCTAGGCTTTTTTTCTGGCAGCCAACAAACACTCTGCTGCCCATTGGGAGACTAAGAGTGTTTGTTGGCTGCCAGAAAAAAAGCCTAGAAACTAGTGGATTGTGATTTCACTGAACTAGAGCTGCATAAAAATCTTGGTTTACATAGGAAGAACCTGGCTAAAGAGAAATATACATAAAGCCTACAAAAAGGAAAGAAAACATACACACACACACATCCATTATAATCAATTACATGTAATTTAACAGAATAAGAGAATTGGAAGGGACCTTGGAGGTTTTCTAGTCCAATCCCCTGCACAAGCAGGAGATCTTATATCATTCTGGACAAATGCCTGACAAATTTAGAAGGATTCTGTTTCTAGCTTTGGACATTTTAGTTAAAGGCCAAATTCTCTGTCCCAAAAAAATGTTGCTCAGACCTGGCCTATAAAGAAATTTCACAAATTGAGAGCTATTCTTTAGGATAAATGGTTAACAAAGAAAGTGGCTAAGTTTTCCACTAAGACTGAGCCATGGTTTAAAACAAACCATAATTGGATGGTCAGACAGTATAAAAGAAATGGGTTCCCCTTCAGTCATGTCTGACTCAAGGGAGCAGTGCTCATTTGTTTCCTAGCCAAAGGAACCAGCATTGTCCAAAGATACTTCTGTGATCATGTGGCTGGCATGACTATGCACCGAGGCACATGGAACACTGTTACCTTCCCACCAAAGTGGTACCTATTTATTTACTCGCATTTGCATGCTTTCAAACTGTTAGGTGTGCAGGAGTTGTGGCAAGATCAGGAGCTGACCCCATCATGCGGTACTTGGGTCTCCAATTTCCAACCTTTCGGTCGACAAGCCCAACATCTTATCTTGGTGTACCTATCACAAGCTCTGGCTTCATGGTGCAGAGTCAGCAGATCCTGATGATTTAAAGAGTTGTATAAACCAGGTCAGTTCGTTTTTCTCCTGTCCTCTGGTCACAGTTTCCACCACTAAATTATAGGACTTTGATCAGAGTACTACTTTTGCCCTATATTTTTGCTGCAACATAGCTGAGTTTTGTGCTTTTCTGAAAAAAATAAAGGCACTACTGCACAAACATAAAATACCGCACAGTATGCTTTAAAAAGAAATAAGAAAAGAAGATGACTCTGTGCTTTGGGGCTAAGACAGGATGGGAATTAATATACCATAATTCATATCCTAGGGTTTCTACTTTGTATTCTGTAATAATTTCTGCCAACCATTTTCATTTGGATGACCTCTGTTCTCTCCTTCCTTTAGCGATAAGCAATAGCTTTTAACTGTATGCCCAGTTTTCTTGCTGCTTAGAAATGTCATCTTTGAACTTCATATCTATAGATTTTACTCCCCCATTTTCACTCATCCTTTCTCCTTGCCTCTCAATGCAGAAAGAAAAATGAGTTATAAAAAAATGGAAGAAGTCTATTTCGTAATATTGATGCAGCCTTTATCTTTTTATTTTATGAAAAAAGATTAAGAAAAAAATCAAGACACAACAAAAGATAAAAATGGCTAAGTTCTTCTTGCCATGTGACTTCCTCCAGCTGAATCTAGAAATACAATATTTGCAAGTAATCTCTCAACAGAGGTTCCTCCCTTTAAAAAAATCAGTACATTTATGTTACTTGGTTTAGGTAGATGACAAGAAAATTAGAAAATCTGAACTCCACCAAATAATTCCTTTTGTTGGAGTTATGAGATGTTATGACATTAAACTTCTAGAGAAGGTCTAGAGTTATAACATCAAACTTTTGGAGAAGATGATAAATGGTGTGGAACTTTCTCAGCTGATTTTAAAGATCAGAGAGATTTGATCATATGGGAGAAATTAAGGAGAATCCAGCGTGTTCTCTAAGTCCCTCTGGAGAAGAAGATGAAAAAACTGGAAATGCCTTATTTCTTCTTTAGGGCCTTGACAACCACTGCTGAGTCATAGCTATTGATGTAGTATCTATGGGAATTCTCAGTCATCAAGGTCATAGTTGTCTCAAAGGTCTGTTTTTGTTTTGTTTTGTTTTGTTTTTGTTTTGTTTTTTGAGGAAGAAGATGTTTCACTTCTCACCCAAGAAGCTTCATCAGTTGTGAAGCATGTTAGTGTGGTGGTTTAGGTACCAGGATACAAACCAGGAGACTGTAAGTTCAAGTTCTGCCTTAGGCATGAATGCTGGTTAGATGACTTTGGGCCAGTCACTCTTGCTCAGTCCATAACATCAGGCTTAACTGATAACAAGCCAGTGAGTTAAATTTCTGTCGCAACCAGTGAATCAACTCACTCAGTTGACACACACACACGCACCCAAAAAAATGGATCTTGCACTCACAGAAAAAAAGAAGAAAAAAAATGCTGGGTGAATGACTCATAAATCATCTGTCTGTTTTCTCTGTATCAGTCCAACTTACCTTGTAAGATAATGCTCCCCTTCTCACCTTTAAGGACCCATGAGTCTTTCTATGATCTCACAACTCAAATTTCTACTTCATACTTCTGATAAAGCATGAAAATGCATGCCAATCAAAATGTCAGTCTTTAAATTGCCATGGGGCTTCCAAAACCTAAAAGACAAGATTTCAAGGTCAAATTAAAGATGTAGTAGGAAGTCTAGGGCTTCTCAGACATCGCTTTCCAAGCAGTTTTTCTACAGGATATTTCAAATTTTAGCTACTACAAAAGATGTGAAGTAAATGTATCATACCTTTCTTTTTATACAAAATATCCTGACCCATGCAGATTCTGCTAAGCCTTAGCTATCCATCCAAGGCCTCATTTGCATGAAACATTTGAGGAAAAAAATGTATAAAACATGTACATATTGCACTTGGTAACTGCATTCAGAATTCTAAATTACAGAACCACCTCCAAATTGCAAACAAACATGTTTACACAATCATTAAAACTGAGGAACACATATCCCAAATCCATTCATTAACCTGTCGAGTGGGGGAGTGATTAAAAAATGAATTATTTGAAAGCATTGGTAAAACAGAATATAGGGCTACAGGCAGTACTCACCTTAAAACAGTTCCTTTAGTGACTGTTCAAAGTTACCGTGTTTCCCTGAAAATAAGACAGGGTGTAAGGATCACCTCTCCTTCTAACTTAAGAAAGTGAGAACTCTTGAAACATGGTTGTTCAAAAGGATTTCTTTTATTAAGCAGAAGTGACAGCCATCCAGTTAAAGCAAGATCTGAATACTCTTAGGCAAGACAGTAGGATTAAAGTAGTAGAGACCCCTCCCTTTAAGTCAGAATGCAGATTTTAGCCAATACACAAGTGTGAAGATGTTTTCTTTACTAGTTTCTCTGAGAACCTGAACAAACATGCATTCCCACCATTATCCTTTAAAGTGAAACAACCCACATGGCTATCATAAAAATTCCTGCAGGTAAAGGGGATCTCAGGGCTCTTTGGCACCAGGATATAGGTTGTAAAATATCTGTTGACACAGGCAATGCTAGTAAATCGAATCCAAGGGTCCCCCCTCCTCTGACTGAATGGCAGTATCACTTTTAGGGATCTGACACAGGGTCTTATTTTCTTTTGACCCGCCAAATAAGGGCTTGGCCTTATTATTGGAGGGGTCTTATTATTTTGGGGGTTCAGGAGGCGGTAAGAGTGGGACTGGATGTCCCGTTGCTGCCATCGCCTCCCCTCCCCATTCTTCGCATTGGCCACTGCCCTGACGTCTCTCGCCGCCGCTGCTTCCTTTGGAGCAGGACTCTGCAAGGCTTGTGCCGTTGCATGCACAAACTGCAGCACCACCACAAGCTTCATCATACCAGCACAGCTGGTGTCCTGCCGCTCACAGCTGTGCCAGTATGTCGAACCTTGCAGCTGTGCTGCAGTTCCTGCATGCAACGGCACAAGCCTTTCAGAGTCCTGCTCTACGAGGCAGTGGCGGTGGCACGACGAATCTCACAAAGACTCATTTCTGTCAGGTGGGGCGGGGGAGAAGTGAGACTCATGGAGCAAGACATGACTCCCCTTGCCGTCTCTTCTCCCCCCACCCCCCGCCGGGCATGACAGGGCTCCTGCCCCTCGCTTAGCCACCTGCCCCTACCCAAGGGTGCTTCTTGCCACCTCCAAATTGCACCCTAAAGGGGGTGGGTGGGGTGGGTGGCTAAGCAAGGGGCAGGAGTCCTGTCATGCCCGGTGGGGGTGGGTGAGGAGGGGTTGGTGGGGGGGCTTATTTTGTGGGGTAGCTTATGTTATCACATGTCCTGAAAAGCCCGATTGGCCTTATTTTCAGGACATGTCTTATTTTCAGGGAAACACGGTACAATGTCACTGAAAAAAAGTGACATGACTGTTTTTCATGGTTACGACCTTTGCAGCATCCCCATTGATCGTGTGATCAGAATTCAGATGCTTGGCAACTGGTTCATATTTATGACCGTTGCTGTATCCCAAGGTCATGTGATCACCTTTTCCAACCTTCTGACTAGCAAAGTCAATGGGGAAGCCAGATTCACTTAACAACCTGGTTACTAACTAATCAACTGCAGTGAGTCACTGAACAACTGTGGCAAGAAAGGTCATAAAATGGATTCACTTAACAACTGTCTCACTTAACAACAGAAATTTTGGGCTCAATTGTGGTAGTAAGTCACGGACTACCTGTACTTGAGCCAGATTTATACTGATCAGCACAGTACAACTTTGCATGATTGTTCAGTTCTTCCTTATTTGTTCAGTTGTTGTTGTTAGTTGTGAAGTCTTGTCTGACCCATCGCAACCTCATGGACAATGTTCCTCCAGGCCTTCCTGTCCTCTACCATCCTCTGGAGTCCATTTAAGCTCACGCCTACTGCTTCAGTGACTCCTCGTTCTTTGCTGTCTCGTTCTTCTTTTGCCCTCAATCTTCTCCAGTGAGTCCTTCCTTCTCATTAGATGGCCAAAGTATTTGAGTTTCATCTTCAGGATCTGGCTTTCTAAAGAGCAGTCAGGGTTGATCTCCTCTAGGACTGACCAGTTTGATTGCCTTGGGGACTCGCAGGAGTCTTCTCCAGCACCATAGTTCAAAGGCCTCAATTCTTTGGTGCTCAGACTTTCTTATGGTCCAACTTTCACAGCCATACATTGCAACTGGGAAAACCATAGCCTTGACTATATGCACTTTTGTTGGCAGGATGATGTCTCTGCTTTTTAGTATGCTGTCTAGATTTGCCATAGCTTTCCTCCCCAGGAGCAAGTATCTTTTAATTTCTTGGCTGCAGTCCCCATCTGCGGTGATCTTGGAGCCCAGGAAAATAAAATCTGTCACTACCTCCATTTCTTCCCCATGTATTTGCCAGATGTCGAGCATCAAGAAGCACTCAAAACCATGAGCAGGAACGCTGAACCATGGATGTCCTACCTGCCGGGGGGGAAGGAGGCGGTCTGCACGGGTGCTGGTGCTGGGATAGACTGGCGAATAGGTGTTACAGCACACAGGTGTTTACAGGGGGTGTAAAGGGGGCACGGAAGCAAGCAGCATGAACGAGGATAGTGTGGCTGACGTCATCGGTGTGCGCACGGAAAGAGATGGTGGGAAGTTGAAACTCCGCGCAGCTGCCTGCATTACGGCAGAACTCTATAAAAGGACTCTGGGTGAAACATACGATAGCCGTGTCTTAGTTTTGCATAGCATTCCGACTTCCGTAAGAGCTGTTTGTCTCAAATAAACCAGGTTGCTCTGAGCCTTCGGGTCTCGCGTGTTGCTTGTAAATTTGTGATCACAGACTGAGGGAAGCCGAGAGGAAGACGCGGCTCCTCCCTTCACCTGCTTTGGGTACCGGAGCGGCACAATGGCCGAGGGCGTAGCCAAGGATGCGCTACCCATGGAGACGTTGGGAGATGAGGAAGTGGCGGGGGATGTTGCCGTCGTCAACGCTGCCGAGATGACTGAGCAGCCGGTGGTGCGGCCAAAACAATGAGAGTTTCCTAGACCTGCGTGAGGCTTATTATCGGGTACGGATATGTCCGGGGGATGAATGGAAAACCACATTCAACAGTCCCCTTTGCAGTTACCATTTCTTAGTGATGCCATTTGGCTTACAAGGTGCACCAGCTGTTTTCATGCAGCTCATAAACGGAGTGTTACATGAGCACCTGTATCGGGGAGTCCTGGTCTACCTGGACGATATCCTTATCTATTCAAACACGATGGAAGATCATGTCCAGCTTGTTAGACAGGTACTGACTAAACTACTGAAGCACACCTCTTTGTTAAGATTTCGAAATGCGAATTTCACCGGAGGGAGATAGATTACCTTGGCTTTCGGATTAGTGATACGGGGATTCAGATGGACCCAAAAAAGGTGGAATCCGTGTTGGAATGGCAAGTCCCCCGAACATGTAAACAGTTACAGAGTTTTCTAGGGTTTGCGAATTTTTATCGACATTTCATCCGTCCTTTGCGAAAATAGCATTGCCTCTAACCGAGCTCCTAAGAACGAAGGGTCTGGTAACACCCGGAGCGAAACCCAGGCCAGGACATGTGCTGCAGTAGTTGTCTGCATGCCAACAGGCATTCGAAAGTCTCAAACACCTCTTTGCCAGAGAGCCCGTGCTAAAACATCCAGACACGTTACAGCCATTCATTGTACAGGCGGATGTGAGTGACGTGGCTGTGGGGGCTGTACTCTTACAAGCAGACGCAAACGGTGACTTAAGGCCTTGTGCATATACCTTGCGTAAGTTTACGACAACAGAAAGAAACTGGGCCGTTTGGGAAAAGGAGGCATATGCCGTGAAATGGGCGTTGCAGACTTGGAGACATCTACTAGAAGGAAGCACAAAGCCCTTCGAGGTCTGGACAGACCACAAGAAGCTAGAAGTGCTCCAAACCCCTCGAAAGTTATCCCCAAAACAGGTCAGATGGGCGCAATACTTCCAGCACTTCCGATTCTCTCTCGTGTACAAACCGGCAGGTAAAATGTTTTTAGCTGATGCTTTGTCATGAATGCCTCAATACAGAAGCAAAAGAGATGAAGTTTTGCAGGCTTTAATTCCACCCATGAAAGCGTATACTTTGGGAACTCGACAAACCAATGACTGGCTGGCGACACTGCAAAAAGAACTGACAACAGATCAGTGGGTACAAGACAACCACTCTTCTGTTACCCACCGAGATGGCTTAGTATGGTGGGGGGACAAGTTATACATCCCCATTTCGTTGAGGCAGCAAGTATTGACTCAATGCCATGATACCAAAACCACGGGGCATTTTGGCTTCTTGAAAACGTTACATCTTTTACTTTACATTATTCAAATTTCTATACCGCCCTTCTCCTTTCGGACTCAGGGCGGTGAACAGCCAAGATAAAAACATCTATACAAAACATCACAGTTAAAAAATAAAGTTAAAATAATTTATAAATTTGGCCCATAATTTAAAACTTGTCAATTTAAAATCAATATTAAAATTTTAAAACTAACCCTAAAATCAAGACAGACCGGCTAACTGGAAAAAATAAGTTTTTAGGGCCCGACATCTAGCCAGGAAACAATTTTGGTGGCCCAAAATGAGAAAAGAGATTGACCAATATGTCCACAGGTGTCATACATGTGCTATGTCCAAACCACGTCCTGGAAAACCGTTGGGACTACTACAAACAGTGGCAGATCCAAGCAGGCCATGGGATGAAATCGCCATGGACTTCATTGTGGATCTCCCTGATAGTAGAGGGTATACCGTAATTTGGACGGTAGTCAATCTTTTCTCAAAACAAGCCCATTTCATTCCTTGTAAGGGCTTACCATCTGCAAAACGACTAGTCCGAATGTTCCTTCAACACATTTATCGATTACACAGAGTGCCCAAATGAATAATCTCAGACAGAGGGGTGCAATTCACCGCCAAGTTCTGGAGAGGTTTCCTTCATGACATTGAAGCAACATAGGGCCTAAGTTCAGCATATCACCCCAGCACAAATAGAGCAGCCGAGCGAGCGAATGCCATGGTGGAACGTTATTTACGTTCCTACATTTCATACCAACAAAGAGACTGGGTAGACTATCTACCATTCGCTGAAACGGCATATAACAACTCGGTGCATCGAAGCACCGGATATACCCCATTTCAGGTTGTTATGGGACGGGACTTTCCAGCTATCCCCGACCTAGACCTCCCGGCTCCACAACCAATGACTCCCCAGGAGTGGTCGACTAATATACGGAAGACATGGCCTCTAATAAAACAAGCACTGACTAAAGCAGCCGAAGAATATAAAATCCAGGCCGACAAAAAACGGGCTACATGTCCATCTTTCCAAATTGGAGACTTAGTGTATTTATCGACCAAATACATACGATTACGGTTACCAAGTAAAAAGTTAGGTCCCAAATACAT